GCCCGCCTGGGTGTGAGGGACCTGGGGAGGGGACACACCGCTGGCCTTCCCCGCTCCGCCCCTGGGTGGTTGCAGGGTCGCGGACGACTCGGCACCTCTCCTTTTCGTGGCTCTGAATGAGGCTATTCGTGCCGTCGCGGTGGCTTTCGGGCTTTTGAGAAAGAAGTGGGCGAAGTCACCCGTTTCCGCTGTAGGGGACACCTTACGCTTGGTAGCTCTCTCGGGGGGCTGGGGCCGGGCGGGATGCTGGTAGAATGCTTGCCTTCTGTCTTCCCTGAGTACCTGTGTACCCCGAGTTGTCTTTTGTCCTGGAACCCGTGCCGGACTCAGAGGATCGGAAGGCGGACTTGGCCCCCGGGAGGACGCAGGTTTCTCTTTAGGAACCACGCTCCCGGCCTAACGCGATGGCCCCCGCCCGGGTTTTTAACCCCGTTGAGTGCATTTTTGCTGCTTCCCTGGCTGAAGGAGCGGTGGACAGGGTCCAGGCGAAGGCCGGCAGGCAAACCGCCGCGCGTGACCCCCCGCCCCCCGCGCGAACGGTGCGCCTCCCTCTTAGAACGCGTGTATTCGCCGATTAGCATAAACAGGAACCCGACCATCACCTAGTGACTAACGCGTTCCCTTTGGTATGTATATAGGGTCAAACGCTTTGGCTTAACTTTCTTTTGAAACAGAGCTCTGTTCGTGGAAGTATCTGCGTAGCCCCCCACTCACTGCCCCTTCCAGCCTCGGGACAGCTCAGCGCCGGTTTCCATAAAGCGCCTCATCCACAGTGCCTTCCGAGGGACCTCCTCGTTCTTTCGTGGCCCAAACCTTGGTGTTCACAATTGGTATCGATCAACAAGTGCTCCGTGGACGATGTTTTTGTGGAGTGCAATCTTATGCAAAATGGGGGCCGGGGCTGGACTGGTTTGTTTGCTGCTCTTGGAACTGCCTGGTGTGTAGGCAGTTGTCAGACGAGCTCCTCCACCCTCCTGGAGGGGTCATTGTGCCGGAGTGCTGGGTGATTCACTGTTCCCCAGATCTGAGTCCTTCCTCTTCCCGGGGCTGGAGCGGATGGGAGTTGGTGGGAGTCTTGGTGGGCTGCTGTCTGTTCCCAACAGTGGAAGGTTCTTCCCACCCACTCATCCAATCTGGAACCTACTCTACCCTCCACCTCCTAACCTGAGGTGCGTGACATAACAACCCACAGGGTGAAACCCAGTGCTGAATGCGGTACCAGGTGGCACCCTGCCCCCTCGCGGCTGAGTGCCAACTGGCTGGCAGAGGACACAGGGACCTGGAGGGAGGTGAGACAGTTCTCTCTGCAGGACTCCCTCCCCTTCCTTGCCAGCATCACCTGGTTGATGCCTGTTTCGACAGGCCAGCCTGGGGGAGTGTGTGGGGGAGGGGGGGGGCGGAGTTCCAGGGGCCTGGGCCCAGCCAGACCTTGGAGTCCTTGAGCCCAGCGTTCCTAGGGAAGAGGGTGAAGTTCACAGGAAGCCATTCTGGTGGGGCCTCCCCCGTGGCAGGTGTGGACCTGCTGAACTGGCAGGTGTGAGGATGACCTGGTTGTATTAACTTCAGCGATGGTCAGCTGTGGAGCATCTTAGTGTTCACAGGCAGTTCACCTGTACCGGCCATGCCTTCTTTACATCAACCTTGTGAGGTACACGGGCCAGGCAGCATTGAGAGTCCCCAATGCCAAACTCTCAGGTTAGCATTATAATTAATCAAGCACTATTTGTCCTAGGCAGACCGAGGGTTGTATTCAGTTTGTACTTAAGAAAAATGGAGGCCCAGTGAGATTAGGGGACTTGGTTAAAGCCAGTGAAGTTTTAGTACGAGAAGTGGGACTAGAACCTGAGCTTCCCGACCCTGCACGCAGGTCCTCTGGACGAGCGTGCAGCTGAGTGGGTGCTGCCCCTCACGCCTGTCCCCAGGCCCACTGCTCTTCAATGCTGATTGACTTTAAAGAGCAGGTTACACCATCCATAATGCCCAGGCTATCATTTGGAGCCATGACTCTGGGAGAAATTGGGCTGGGAAAATGACAACGGTTTTGCACTACGCAAACCTGGGTCTAGGGCAGTGGTCGGCAAACCGCGGCTCGCGAGCCACATGTGGCTCTTTGGCCCCTTGAGTGTGGCTCTTCCACAAAATACCACGTGCGGATGCGCACATACAGTGCAATTGAAACTTCGTGGCCCATGCGCAGAAGTCGGTTTTCGGAAAGGAGATAGACAAGACAAGTATACAAGACGAATGTGGATAAGAGAGTTGGAAGGGGTCGACCTCAGCGAACGTACCTCAATCAGATTGAGGACATTTTTAGCAAAGGTCAGCTTAGGAGTACCCCAATGAAGTTAATAACAATGTACCTACCTATATAGTTTCAGTTTAAAAAATTTGGCTCTCAAAAGAAATTTCAATCGTTGTACTGTTGATATTTGGCTCTGTTGACTAACGAGTTTGCCGACCACTGGTCTAGGGGCATCATTTACTAAGGTGCCCTCATACAGGTCACTCCAAGCCTCAGTGTCCCATCAGTGGGAGCGTAATGCT